TATATATATGAAAAGTGCGATGTGGGTACTTAAATGAAAGGTCTCGATGAGTGTAATATGAAAATGAGTTTATATCTTTAAAAATGTCATTAATTTGAAAATGACCTTGTTTCTTGTGAACTATTGACATTTTTAAAGATATAAGCTCATGCTGATGTTACACTCATCGAGACCTTTCATTTGAGTACCCACATCAATTTTTCATATATTTTATATATTTATATATTTCATAAATACCATATATATAAAATATATAAAAAATACCATGTGGGTACTTGAATGAAAGGTCTCGATGAGTGTAATATGAAAATGAGTTTATATCTTAAAAAATGTCATTAATTAAAAAATGATCTTGTATTTTGTCAACTATTGACATTTTTTAAGATATAAGCTCATCCCGGTGTTACACTCATCAAGACCTTTCATTGGAGTACCCACATCAATTTTTCGTATATTTATATATATTATATATATATCATATATATGTATATATGAAAAATATATCAAAAATGCATGTGGGTACTCAAATGAAAGCTCTTGATGAGTGTAACATCAGGATGAGCTTATATTTTTAAAAACGTCAACAGTTAAGAAAGTACAGTGCAATTTAACAACAGTCATTATTTAATAAAGCAAAATTTTATTTATTCAATTCACTACGGCAGTCACGAAGTGACTGCAATGTTGCTAGTTATTATTACTAATAACTTTTTTTATTATTATTATAAATATAATTATTAATTTATTTTTAATTTTAATTTTTTTTGTTTTTTAAAGAAAAAATTAATTTTTTTTATTAAAAAAATTTATATATTGATAAAAGTAACTAGGTCATTTTTATCAACCGATAGCCTTGATAGACAGTGAAAGGCGGAGTTTAAAATCCAGCAGTGGGATTGCCATAACATTCCTCGTTTATATAATAACTCAATTTATTAATAATACCGCACGCAATTTTTCTTAGTCTTCTCCGTTCTTCAGCATCTGACAGTTTTATTTTATTTAACTAAAAACTTCAATAATATGAAACTTTACGCTGTTTCTGATGGTCCACCATCTCTCGCTTGCAGACAAACATTAAAAGCTCTTAATATTGATTATGAGCTGATACCTGTTGACTACTGCAAAGGAGAATTTTTAACTAAAGAATATGAGGAGGTAATTTGATATTTATTTTATTATTAATATAATATTTTATTCCTTTTAATATTGATAATTTTAATTAATTGAATATTTTAGCTAAATCCGCAAAGAGAAATTCCGACTTTGGTCGATGGTGATTTGACAATGGGTGAAAGGTAAATTATTGTTTTTATAAGTAATTGAATTTTTAATTGAATTAATTATTGATAATTTTTTTAGTCATGCAATTATACAATATCTGTGTGATAAATATGATAAAGAAGGTAAATATTATCCAAAGGATCCTAAAGCTCGTGCTTTAGTCAATCATCGGCTTTGTTTCAATTTAACAACTTATTATCGCAATATTTCAGAATATGCCGTAAGTTTATTTATTTATATAATTATTATTATTGTTAAATTGCACTGTACTTTCTTAAATACTAACGGTTATAAAGATATAAGCTCATCCTGACGTTACACTCATCAAGAGCTTTCATTTGAGTACCCGCATGCATTTTTGATATATTTTACATATATACATATATATAATATATATAAATATATGAAAAATTGATGTGGGTACTCAAATGAAAGGTCTTGATGAGTGTAACACCGGAATGAGCTTATATCTTTGAAAAT